GGTGGGATGGGAGGGGATGGGGTAGGATAGGGATGGGGATGGGGTGGGATGGGAGGATGGCAGGGGGCGGGCAGGATGCACCCCAGCGCTGTCACCTGGACTTGGCCTTCCCTTCTGCCTCCTGCTTCCTTTGAAGGAGACAATCCACAGATTTCAGCTCTTCCAGTGCGTCAGAAGGACACTTTTTAATTTTGTTTTTAGCCTCAGCATCTGCTACCTGAAGGCCTATAGGAACAGCTGGGGAGGGACCCAGGAACCATCATGCAGTGATAAGACAAGGGGTAAAGGTTTTGAACTAGAAGAGGAGAGATTCAGGTTAGACATTAGGAGGAAATTATTCACTGTGAGGGTGGTGAGTTTTTTTTCCTGACTCTCTCTGTGACTGGAAAAGATAGATAAATATAAATAGAAAAAAGTATGGAAACTCTCAGTATTTCCTCTTTTAGTATAGACTTACAGTGTTCCTGATACCTCTTTTCACTTCTCTGTTTTTATCAGAGCTGGCACATACGCTCTGTTCTCCTGCAGAGAACGAGGTGATGCACTATTGTTGGTCTCTCTCCACTCTTGTGGAGGGTCAGTCTGTCGTCCAGTGGCTACCTGTCAAAAGGGTGTAATTTGTAACCTGTTACACCTTGTCGTTCGCAGTAATTATAACTGAACACGATTGTATTGTAAAATTAATTAAAATTAAAAACTAATTATTAATTTGTCATCTGAGTGGGAACTTCAGTCAAAGTACACTGCCCCCTCCCTTCAGAACTCAGTTAATTCAAGGTGCAACCCCAGCATGTGCATTTGATATTCTTAACATTTCTATTTTATATTGAACAGCTGGGAGGCCCAGTACTCACATGCAAAATAATGCAATGTGCATTTTATTTAAAGCACTCCTACTAGCTTTATCAGAGAAAGGTATTTTCATCATTCAAGCAGCATGAAATCTCACTGTGGCTTCTGGACTGGGATTTTTGCTAGCCAAGTTCAAATTATCTTCTCCAGAGAACTCTTTCTTGGTACAAAAACTTAGATATATCTTGAATAGAGAGCTATGGGACTGAGTGAGAAAATAAGGCACCTTTTATGGGAGATGCATTAATAATGCAATCCAGTAGTGATTTCCTCATTTCTACAAATGGCTCTTCATGAGGAACTAACTACAAGGGGCTTCACTGATAATTGCTTTGGCAGTGAAACCTAATCATTCCTAGATTCCTGCAGTTACTTTTTAATAGTGTCTTTTCCATCTATGTTTTCTCCTCATCAGCCCAGTGTTCTCCTTTGATGTGCCATTTCTTCTTTGACTATGAATTCCTCCTCTGGGAAAAATGTGGCCACACCTGAAGATTCCTTCCCGTTGGCTATGCAGAAAGATGTGTTGCTTCTACAGCAAGTGTAGCAAGTGTACCAGGACTTAGAGACTGCATTGTTTTCTGAGAGATACCTTGAAAACTTATGTAGAATTAAAAAAAGAAAAGAAAAAAAAAAAAAAAGAAAGAAACAAAAGAAAATAAGTTACTTACAACAGTTTCAAAGAATATTCAGGGAAATAACATAGCTGTGGAGAAGAGGCACTTTGCTTGGAACTTGACACAACACATGAATCGTTTGCCTCCTCAGCATGTTCCATTTTTGATCAGGAGCCACCTATCCAGAACGTGCTGCAACTACATGAATGATCACAGCAGCATTAAAGTGCTGTATTACCTAGCCTGTCTTTCCTGTATATGTGTGCTTTTTTCCTTTAAGCCAGTGTATGTATAAAGTCAGAATATAACCTGCAATATTGAAGTATCAAGCATACTGCATGAAGTGGAGGAGATCTTGGCCTCCTGCTGTGCCACTGTACAAAGACAGTTAAAGGTACTGCAAAAAGCTGAGCAGGATTTCTCTTAAAGTCCAAGGCAGCATGAACAGCTGTTTCTGATCAGTCACATGAACTTCCTTGCTATCAACCTTTGACATAAGTCATTGCAGTTGCAGTGAAGGTGGAGAGCCTGAGCTCAGCTGAACTTCTTGAGGCTGTATCTTGAAAAAATGCCACCTGCCTTCATGGGTGCATGCAGTTCCTCAAAACTATTCGTGCTCTGTACATTGTGACAGTTTACTGTGATTGTGGGCATGAGGGACTTGGAGCTTGGAGGAAGGTAGAAGGGCTCAGCTGCTAGGGAAGTACTTTGCTCTCCATTACACAGCCAGAGCAGCATACTCCTAAAGCTACATGTAAGTGAATTTAATGCTGACCTTGTAATTCATCTGTCCTTCATTCATGCCATGCCAGTAAGGTTTAAGCAGCTGACCTCAAATGCTAATGAAGTCTGTTGGTTTCAACAGGCTTTGCACCAGCTCAAAATCAATGCGACAGCCCTGCCCTGTGAACTAGAGTGCTACCCTGGTGTATTTTGGTAGGGGAGGTGTGTTAGACAGTTAAAATGTCATTATAACTCATCCTAACCCATGGTGGTTGAAGTCCCTCTCAACGTTTAGCTTCACCAACAGAAACATACCACATGTCACATTTCCAAGGCAGGCCTAAAGACAGAGGTTCCCTCACAAAACGGGCAGTCAGTGTCTTCTCTTCCCTTTGGGTTCAACATTTCATCCTGCAAATATAAAGGGAGTTGTTAGTGGTCCTCTCAAGTTGCTTTTCCCAGGGAGGAGCAAGTCAGCAGTTCTCCCAGAGACTCTGAATATGGATTCTGTATCCTGTTTCCCAGCTTCAATGCAGTATTAAGTACATACTTAGTGCATTTCCAAGCTTGAGGAGGAACACAGAGCCAGAGCTGCAGTGGTCCAAGATGAGTGCATAGGCTGACAAGAGGTCTACAGAGGAATGAACAAAAAAAGGTGCTACGCTGGACCTTCTTCTCACCACCAATGATGGGCTGGTGGACAACGTGATGCTTAAGTGCAGCCTTGGCTGCAGTGACCACAAAATGGTGGAATGCAGGATCCTTAGAGGAATAAGGAGGGTGCACAGCAAGCTGACTACTCTGGACTTCAGGAGAGCAGTCTGACCTCTTCAGGGACCTGCTTGGTAGGTTACCATTGGATAAAGCCCTGGAGAGGAGAGGAGCCCAGGAACGCTTGTCAGTATTCAAGGATCATGTCCTTCAAGCACAGAAGCAACACGTCCCAACAAAGAGGAGGGGAGACAAGAATGCCAGGAGGCTTGCTTGGATAAACAAGGAACTTCTGGACACACTTAGATGTAAAAAGAAAGTCTACTGAGGGTGGAAGCAAGGACAGGTAGCCTGGGAGGAGTAAAAAGAAGTTGTCCAAGCAGCCAGAGATCAGGTAAGGGAAGCTAAAGCCCAGATAGAATTACATCTGATCAGGGTCATCAAGGACAACAAGAAAAGCTTCTACAGGTACGTCAGTGATAAAAGGAAGAATAGGAAATAGAAGGAGGAATAGGAAAGGAAGAAGGAAACAGGGTTTATGGAGAAGGCTGAGGTGCTCAATGACTTTTTTGCCTTAGGCTCTGGCCACACCACCCAAGTTGCAGAAGGCAAAGGCAAGGACTGCGAGAAGGAAGATCCTTCCCACTGGAGGAGAAAGGTAGGGTCAAGACCATCTAAAGTACCTGAAATGGCACAAGTCCGTGGGATCTGATGATATCCATCTGTGGCTCCTGAGGGAACTGACAGACAAAGATGCAAGGCTGCTTTCCATAATTTTTGAAAAGTCATGACAGTCTGGTGAAGTTCCCACTGCCTGGAAAACAGGAAACAAGCTGCATATGTTGCATGAAAGGAATCACTGAAGGTCACATGGCAGTTCAGTCTGTGAAAGATCTGGACCCAGAGTCAAAGCGAGCCTAGCACTTCCTAACACAGGAGGTTCTCCTTCTGAAGGTACCACTATCAACGAGTGGCCTGTTTAGCTTAATCCTGTTGCAGGGGAATACTTTGTAGAACAGCTTGCACCTGTTTCTAAATAAGTGCGTAAGGCCTGGGAGAACACAAAGCATGCTGCAGTCTGTGGCTGTAGCAGAAGTTACATAGAAGCTTGGAGCAAAGAAGGGAAGAAACCGGAAGTGGGAATCCTCTGGCATTGTTATCTTTCAAGCAATTCCCCTTCATTCTGTTCAGCTTTATTCTCATGGATTTAGTATCCTTGAACAGCAGGTTCTAGGAAAAAGATCAGTAAAGAAGTGATCTTAATCCAGTTGCTGTTGCATGTGGCTGTACGTTACAGAATCACAATCCTAGGGGTTGGAAGGGACCTCGAAAGATCATCTAGTCCAACGCCCCTGCCAGAGCAGGGTCACCCAGAGCACATCACACAGGAACGCATCCAGGTGGGTTTTGAATGTCTCCAGTGAAGGAGACTCCACAACCTCCCTGGGCAGCCTGTTCCAGTGCTCTGTCACTCTTGCAGTAAAGTTCTTCCTGATATTCACCTGGAACCTCCTATGTTCCAGTTTGCACCCATTGCCCCTTGTCCTATCACTGGTCATCACTGAAAAAAGCCTGGCTCTGTCCTCCTGACACTCACCCCTTATATATTTGTAAACATTGATGAGGTCACACCCCTCAGTCTCCCTTTCTCCAAGCTAAAGAGACCCAGCTCCCTCAACCTTTTCTCATAAGGGAGATGTTCCACTCCCTTCATCATCTTTGTGGCTCTGCGCTGGACTCTCTTGAGCAGTTCCCTGTCCTTTTTGAACTGAGGGGCCCAGAACTGGACACAATACTCCAGATGCGGCCTCACCAATGCAGAATAGAGAGGGAGGAGAACCTCCCTTGACCGACTAACCACCCCCTTTCTAATGCACCCCAGGATGCATTAGATGTGTTGGGAAAAAGTACTCAGAGCATGCCTGCAGAAAGATGGATTTTGACTCCCAAAACTGGAGGCTACCCGTGTCTGGTGCTGGCAAGGCATGCTGGTGAGGCAGCAGCTGAAACTAAGCTAGATGATCAAACCAGAGGTGAGCCTTGCAGTGCTTCTGCTGCATGCATGGAGCAGCTAAACAAAGAATGCAAGACCTGCCATCACATCCACTTTCAGAGAGGACACTTGGCAGCGAGTTCCTGAGCGTACGGGCTCCCATTTTTGTTCAGCGTTTGCGTCACGTCTGGCACAACGGAGCGTGATGCGAGTTTCCACGTGACACAATATAGTAAGAAAGAACAGGTCAGCTTGTTTTCGTATGGAATCTACGACCCCGTGGTGACACGTCAGGGGATTGACTTGGGTATTGTAGCAGCTGAGTAGCATGAGGGCCTCCCCCAACACTCCTCTTGCTGAAGCCACCGGCGCCAGGCAGGGAAGCGGCTCCTTCCCGTGCCATTGGGACAGGATGGCTTGCCTGCAGTCAGAGGCTCTCTGGAAAGCAGCTGTTGTACTTCTCCTTCAGGCTGACACCGTGTTCTGTTTCCTGGCACTTGGTTGCAGAGAGGGTATCTGACACAATATTCCCTCTTTCATATGCAAGGAGGAGAGAAGGGGGTATTTATGTTCCGGGTGCTTTCGCGTCAGAAGCTGAAGTGGCAGAACTTGAAGGCAGAAGGAAGTAAAGCCGTAGCTTTAGAAATATCAGATACTGGCTTGTTGCTTTCCTCCCAACGGGCTGACTTCACACAAGTGTCACATCTATCCAGTTCACTCTTTTTTAAAAGGCTTCTCACTACAAGCACCCCTGTTTTCTGCACAACTGCAGATTTTTTAGACCCTTAGCATGTACTGCTCGGAAAATGGGAAAGCAACTATAAAAAACCCCTGCATTTTAAAATGTTACTGTTATGCATCAGGTAGGAAAAGCCCAGCAGTCACTATCGTTTTCTTAATTATACATTATACCAGTCTATAAACAGAATAAACAGAGACGCTTCTAGGTAGGCTTGAAAACGTGGAATTCCTTCGTGGAATTCGGTTGGCACTTCATTTTCATAAATACTGTGACTTCACACTTCAGGGTATAAAACCATCGGTGTCTGTTACAGACGACGCAGGTCACAAGTAACGTTTTAGGGGAGACAACCGTGACTCTGCGGTGCGAATGGTCATTCCCAGCACAGGGAAGAGGGCTTGAGGATGCAGCGTTTTCATGGCTCCGTTATGGAATGGGACAGAGGCGTCTAAGGGCGATTAGTCACTCGTTTATTCACTGGGCGCTGCCAGCTCCCCCGGGGCAGAACGGGGGCTGCCGGATTCACCCTCGGAGGGTCTGCAGGCGTGTGACCGGGCACACGGCCCCCATCCCGCTTCCCCGGGCGCTTCCCGAGCTCTTCCTTCCCGCCACTTCCCGCCGCCTCACACCGGTTGCTGGGCGGGGTGACGTCACGCCCCCGCAACCAATCAGAACCCCGACGAGGGACGGGGCGGAGGCGGGGCCCGCCCCCCCCGCCCGGAGACGCCCG